TGTCCCTTGGAAGAAGGGCACGGGGTCCCTGGCTTGCGCTTGCCTCTGGCCCGCCTTGAGAGCGTTCTCTTGTGCAGTGGGAGTGCGTGTTCAGAGCAGGGCTGAGGAGGGGATCTGCAATGCTTTCCGCACCCCTGGACAGCATACCCGAAATTTGTTTGGCTATAAAGTTTGCGAGGGAATGCCCTGTCCTCTGAAGTTTACAAAGCCTTCTTGCAAATGTAGCCTTTTCATAGCAGAAGCAGAGGAAATTTGTAATGAAATTGTTTCTTTTAATATGCGTGTGTTTTTAGTTTCTTCAAGTGAAGGTGTTTGTGTGTGTTTTAGCAAAGGGAGTATTTTTCAGTTAACTAAAAAAGAGTCAGGGGGGCAGGGACCGGTGTTGAACACCAAACAGTGTTGTTCATATCTCTGTATCAGTTGACATTAAGATGTATTTACTTATGTCTAATAAATAGTATTGTTTCGTAGCCATGTTTTTTTAATTTTCATATTCTAAAACTGCTTCTCTGAACAGAGGCTTGAAAGCTGCATACAGACTTTTTCTTATTAAATAAAAAAAAAAAAAATAGGGCTTTACAGAAGAAGGCAAAGGAACAGGAAAGAGCAGGCAACCAAACCCATGCCTCGGGATACCACCCCTAAGGTGTGGTGGCGATGTCTGTGCTGGCCTGCTCGTTTACGTAGGAGATACTAAGGTCTGAGATCCGTCAGTACTTTCATACAGCGCTGAAATGCAACAAGAGCTGGTACGGTGTTATAAATACCAGATTCTGCCTTACGTTATTGCTCAAAATTCTCCCTCAGCTGTGCAGCGTGCAGCTCTTCCTTCTGTGCAAGAGAAGGTGGGGAAAGGCAGAGGCAGTACAGCTGGTGGGATAAGAGATTTCTATTCATCCCGTTTTCTGGCGGAGGCAGTTCTCAGACATGCCTTGGCAGTGTCTGTATTTAGTAGCTGCGTTCCTGGACACGGGCCCGGTCACATGGCGCCGCTGGAACAAGTGACATGGGAACGATGCATCAGCTGGGAGCCGGGCTGGGGTGCCGGGCTGGGAGCTGGGGTGCCTGGCCAGCCAGCAGGCCTGCGCCCCGCTGCTCAGCAGAGACACAGGGCCCAGAGCTGCTTGCTCCTGGCCATGGTGCGCGTGGCCATGGCGCCTGCCGTTCGGCTCAGCCCCTTGGCTCCAGTGAAAGCTGCAGGGTGGTTACTGGAGGTGCCTTTAAAAAGATAAACCTGGGGGAAGGGAAAAATGCAACCCCCTAAGGAAAGTTCAGTTAACAAATAAACCTTCAGTTCTTTGAAATGATAAAGATTATTCCTATGAAACAACTTCTGCAAAGTATTTGACTTAATTTGGATCAAGTGAACTCTCGTAGCTGTTAGAAGCTGTGGGGGCTAGGCGGCAAAGTGGGATGGAAGGTGGGGAGATAAGGACTAAGCAAGGTTTTCTGTACCGAGGAAAGGACTAGCTGATGGATCTAGCGTCCATATTGCATGCTTTCCTTTCTTTAAATAAAGTCTTAGTTTAGCAAAACTAAACATGCTTTTCTTAATAGTAAATTAAATATATGCAGGTTTTTTTTGCAGTTACAAGTCTTGAACTCTTTGTTTTGCTAATAAGGAATTCCATTTCTGGGGCTAGCAAAGTAAGAGCACTGTCTCTGTGCTGTTTATCTTACTACCTCAAACACATTGGTCTTGTTGGGTTTTTTGTTACGTTAGGGGTGGGGTTTGTGTTTTCTTTTTTTTTTTTTTGCTTACATTATCACTGAGGCACTGTATGAGACCTAGCTCCCAAACTTCTGACTTGTAGATTAGCTAATGAACAGTGAATCCAGACTTACGAAAGTCGGCTGAGTTGTGAAACACTGGTTTAATAGGCTGTTCTTGATTTTTTTTGGAAAGCTGATGGTGTGCAATTTATGGTGACTTGAACCAGTATAGATCTGTTTGCTAGCCTCTGTCAGGTGTGTGTGGTTTTTGTGGTCGTGTTTTGTGCATACATGTGATAGTACTGCTTTCTAGCAACAAAGATTATGAAAAATGCTTCCAACGTTGCAAAAATCCATTATTTTCTCCTTCTCTAAGCAGGGAGTCTGTGAAATTCGAACTTTTCAGTGAACAAATATATACAGTGTTGATTTGCTTTTCATACAGTAGCATATAGTTATCTTTTAAAAAAGAGTAACCTTTCTATACAGTGATCTGATATCAAGAACTTTGTTTTTCTCGGACAGAACTCTTTCTACAGGAAAATCTAAACTCAGGGAGAGCAGTGCTGCAAATAACATGTTCCTTCACTTGTTGCATGACTAATCTGCAATGTATCCAGCCTAACGTGTGTGAAACTAGTAACTATGTATCATGCTTGAACAAGGTGGTTCATCTGAGGTTAGTAGTGCTTTACCATATTAGGACTACTTTAAATCATCGTGGAAAAAGAATGTGGTGTGGCATCAGCACAACTCTTCCGTATGCAAGGTTTTAAAAAGAGGAGGAGCAGTGTGGGGTAAATACTTCAAATTGGGAGGAAGGGAACCTACATAAGCTATTCAATAGGCTGAAAGAGGGAAATTCATCATTAAGCAATTCAAAATAGATTCCACTTCACCTTTCAGCATGTGTTTTGGCACTCATCCTGAATGTCTGGGTGGTAGGCATTTTTTTGTCTATCAATTTTGCTAAGTGTATGTTTTGCAAAAACAGATGCTCACTGAAACAGCAGGTGTGATTACACTTCTCTAGCCCGCTCCTGCAACCAGTTTGGAAAATAAAACCTCACAGGGGGCTCTGAAAATACTGTTAGATTTGAAAACAGTGCTTAAGTTTTAATGGACAGCTGTAACTTTTACAGAAAACTCTTCTTAATTAAATAACTCCATCACACGTTTCCTCTTTCCACTACCCCAAATTTTCATGCTAAAATATTATCTTGGGTTGAAATCATTTAGGCAGTTGTCTCGCAGTGGAGGTGAAGGACGGGAAATAGCCTCCCAAAAGAGCTGGGGACATGCTGTCACATAGCCCAGAAAAAGAGTGATTAAATTCTGCTTCCCAGAGGATTATGTCTGGAGAGCAAGAGCAGGACACTGTCTTCCATTTTATGTATTATCTACTCCTTGGACTCAGGGTGTTTTTCATGTGTGGGTTAGCATTTCTCTTTTTTATGTGTGTTCAGAAACTGTTCTGTAGATTTTCCATAGTAATTCCCCAGGTATTTTGGGATTTATAGTATACTACAGATGACTCATCTACAGATGAGGTAGTTCCTAATTGTGGTCTCTGACATGAATCAAGTATTGTGGACATTTATCTGAATGTTTCAGAATTTTGTTTCGGTTTTTGTTTGAGGAAAAGATAGGACAGCAGTGAAGGCTATCAATTGCTGATCTTAGTCTAGGTGTAGGGCCCTGGCTGTCAGTTGCTTGTTTCATTCGCACTTCAAAGGTGACTAGGAACACTGATGGTTAATGTAGTCCTCCTCAATGAGGTGAGGGCTGGGAGTTTCCCTCTCCGAGGTCGTTTGAATAACTTGAGAACAGGCCAAAGCTTTTCACTTGTTCCCCTGACTTGGGAGGAGGAGTGACTGGGATCTAGTACTTGTCACTACTCTGGGAATTGAAACTGAGCCTTTTTTTATTACTATAGGCTTCCCTCTGCAACTGAGCAAGTTGTTCAACCTAACTTTGCTTTGGTTTTCTGCTTGACTTTTGCCCAGTGTTTAGAGGCTGGGGTTTACTGAGATTACAAAATCCTTTTAAGAAGGGTGCTGTGCTATTTAGCAGGTGTCATGTAGCACTAGATTTTGAAATCTTACTGTGTTTTCTAACTCTACTGCTGTATTTCTGGGTGACCGTGAGCGAAGTTATTTTCCCTTTTTAATCTGGAAGGGAAATAGAACTATGGCCATCAAGTCTAAAATTTTACTGATGGGGGAGAAAGCTATGCAAGATACGAATTATGAGTAGACATGTATGGATAACTTTTTTAAAGCAGGGATGGGGAAGAGGACTTTGTTCTGCAGTGGAATTGCCTGAGCAAAACATCAGGTTCCTTTGTTCTGTTTAAAAGCTTACATTTTCTTGGTCAGAAGTATTTTATTTGATATTTTTTGTCATTAGTACTGCCCTTAAATTGTTTTAATAGGCACAGGACTATAAATTCAGATCAACTAACTTCATCTCGGTGACAAACTTTTTTTGGCTGTGGCTTTCCCTTCTACTTTTTTAAAAACGCTTTTCAAAACAGTGGCTTCAGATTCGTGGCCAAATGTAAGTAATCTTGGTCCTTAAAAGTAAAAGCATTACAGTGCAGAGTATCTAGTGGGTTTCTTGGTGCTGGTCATTTTTTTTTTTAACTGATAACCATATGGCAATGGTGACAGATTCTTATTTGCTCCTAAGCTATATGAGGTTGCTAGGGGTTGTCAGATGACACTTGCTCACATGAGAGCCATTAACAGGGTGTTGTAGCCAGTGTTAGAACAACCTTGCAACTAAGGGCGAGTCACTGCAAAAGCAACTATGCTTTTTTTTTTTTAAGAGGCCATATGGTTCAGTCTTGTGACTACATAATTGCCAGCTACCTAATCACATACCAGGAAACAAACATAGTTAAAGTCAATATTAGCTGTTGTATCTGCTACAGCTTTGCGCCAGGCTTGGTAGGAAAAACTAACAGCAGCAAGAGCAAGTCTATGATGGCTTCTGAAACTTGAAAGTCGTGCCTACTCCTCTGTCTGCAATAATTGCAGCAGTACATTAGCTGAGGCTGTCTTTCTGCATTAATGGCTTATAGAATATACGAAGATCTCTTTGACTTTTTTTCCCCTAACAGGAAATTCAGCAGACTGTGTTCCTGTGAAGGGAAGAAAGCCGATGGTAAATTACCATCGTTAATGGTTGATCTATAGTAAAGAAATCCGCTTGAGGCTGTATCTCTTCAGCGGGTATTTAGTTTCTTTGAGGAAGCTTTACAAGAGGATTTGTGGCAAAGGAAAATGTGTGGGGGTACACCAAAAGCTGCAAATGGCACAGGGGTACAAATAGAAAGAGCAAGAAACAACAACAATGTACCACTTCGAAATAATCTCTCTTGTACCAAATTGGATGAAAGGATTAGAAAATCTTTGAGAGACCAACGTGTCAGCTGTGTCAGCAAAGTGACCAGACTGCCGCAAAACAGGTATGCGTGTAATTTTTTTGATAATATATTATTTTTGACAGAGAATGGACATTTGTAGTTGATACTAGATTTATAATTGTGCCTGAAATGCTATTTTGTAAATAATTGGAACAGTTCTACTAGAAGCTTATTCTTTTTGATGGTGGTGACGTATACTCCATAAAGTCTTCCCTGTTGTTGGAAAATGAATCTATGTTCTTGACTCTGATGTGTTAAGATTTATGCATACGCAAACTGAGGCATGAAGGATAATTGCCTTTCTTTTCAGTTAAGATTAAATAATCTTACCTTCTCTTTCTAGTTTTGTAATTAGTTTCCCCTCTTATTTTTTGCCACCTCCTGTGTTAGTGGGTCAAGTAGTAACAGTGCGCAGCGCAGATAGAGAATGCTGTGAAGTGGGGAAAGAATGGAGAGGGAAACCCTCTGCTTTACTTGTGAATGACCTCTAGATCAAGCATTACATGAAAGTAATCTAGAGTATGAAGAGTGTTTCCCTGACTACTTTGTGGTGCCTCTTTCAGGTGTGTGCTAGGATACTGAGTCTACTGCTATGTGACTATTGAAAATATGGTTCTGGGCAGCTTGTTCCACATTCTAATAGAATGAATATTCTGTATTCAGGATTGCCGATCTAAGAAGCAGAAAAATATGGATAGATACATAGGTGTATATAGATATGTTTCAGTCTTTTTATTTCTTTAGCCAATAGATGTTGCACTGAAGTAGTGAGTGGTTAGTCACTTTCAAAAATGTTTTAAGGTCAGCTGAAGTAGTTTTTGAATATAAGTTTATAGGTCACTCTTCAGTTATGGCATGCATGCGGATTATTATAAAAGTGAACCAAAAGCTTTCTTTGTAAGGATCAGGGTTTGGAGATCTATATTAACTGAAAATACTGATTCAGGGCAGAACGGGGCAAACTGTTTGTGACTTTTTTGTGGAAAAAAACGAGTCTACTTTTCCCTAAGTAAGAGAGATCTTCTTGCCTCAATGTGTCATATCTGTAATAGAATAAATGTTGAACAAGCCAAAGTAAAGTAGCTGATATGCCAATTTAAGAGAAAATAAAGCAAACTAAATCTTAATAGGGAATTTGGGGAGAAAGCTTGCGAGGATATCTGTAAGCTGTTCCAAACTTGTGGCTTTCTTTAAAAAAGAAAAAGATTATCCATAGTGTTTTAGTATCTTTAGTAGACCTGGTTTTCTTGTTGTATGAACATAGACAGATTTATTTATTTTGACTTGAAGATGTTTATTAGTTTTAGCATCTTCCACATGCAGGAGAGATCCACTCTGAAGGTGAGGCTAGATGAGCTGAGCTGTTCAAACAGACTGCTGATGCTGAAGGGAGTAATCACATTGCTGCCTCTTCTTTTGCTTGCTGGCATCATGTTCTTGTCCTTTTTCCACTTGTGCTGGCCTTGGCCTTTCCAGTCCCCTTAGGGAGCCAGTTCAGTTCACTAAGCAGGCAGAAAACAGACTCGGGAACAAGAAAACTCAATTAACATTCTAACTAGCCTCAGTACTTATTTGGAATGTATGGGCGGCATTTTCTTTGTGTCCTTTCCTAAAGGTATATAGCTCCATGGGTGAAGTGAGTTAGTATAACTCATGCTGCCACCAAGAGGTGGAGGTTCCATTGCCTCCTACTTCTTCCTTCCTTTTTCCAGCTGTTTCTGATTCACTCATTTGCTGGGACAGACTTCTGTTGCTGCAGAAGCTCTGGTTACTTTACAGAAGGGTCCAGCAGTTACCAGAGCAGACATGAGTAACAGGAAGGGTCACGTAGTTCCAGAAAGAGGAGAAAGGATATGTGGGGCTTTTATTTTTGTGATCAAATAAGCAAACATTATGTTTGGTCAAAATAGTCATGACATCCACACAAGCTCATATTAATTTATTTCAGCTAATTTTTAAGAATGTGCAGCACCTGGCATAATGCATTGTTTTTAAGCCAAAATGAAACGTTTCCATTACCTGTTAGTCTCTTCACTTCCTGGCCTTTCTAGGGTGTAATGTTGTTAGAAGCCTGTTTTGTCAATCTGCAGTGCATTGACACTCAGGTGGCTGAAAAAACCGCTACTATAATTCTATTAATTTTATTTGTAACATTTGTTTTATAAGTCACAAGTAGTTCTCAAACAGGAATTGAACATGTAAGATTTTTCTTATATAAGCAGAATGAGAACATTTTTATATAAGTAGGGCTAAGGCAAATGATGTTTCAGTCAGTGTTTAGTGAAACTTATTTTTGAAGGCTTTTTTTTAAGCTGACTGAAAAAGCAACAGTTGTTATCCAAAAGTAGTGATTATAGCACATTTATTCTTGCTAAACATTCATAAGAAATATGAATCTTAGCCTGGGGATTATGTGGTTTTGTTATCAGAAGTAACACTTTCAGCAGTAGGTACATATGCAAAACTATTTATGTTGTATAACTCTGACATAGCTTCTTTCAGTACTTACGTATGGTTGGGTAAGCTGTTTCAGGCAGAAACAGAGAAAGAGGAGACAATCAACAGTGTGCCAGTGTAGATTTTACCAAATGAGTATAAGGAAAACAACTGAGTCTTGAGACATGAAGTAAGAGAGCGTTGGGAGTGGTGGTGGAGAGCTAAAAGGGCACTTCTGATACACATAAACATCGATATTTGCTATAACTGGACATGGAGTAGACAGAATCTCATAATGTGGTGCAGCTGGAGAAGAAGGGGCTGCTTATAAGCATATTGAGGGTTTGCTTTCTAATTAATAATTTTGTTACAGAATTGTCAATAAAAAATAGAAGATTCAATCTAGTAAGGTGCAAATTCTGCTAACTTTTCACATAACACTTTCAGAATCTTCTCCTTCCCCATCCTTTCCTTATCTCCCACAAATGCATCGTGAGGATTTTTTTGTTGCCTTAAAATTAACAATAGTTCATATTGTAACCTTGGAGGGGAAGGGGAAAGAG